GGAGGGAGGCTGGAAAATGCGTCGCTACCTAACAGAGTTAAGCATCCAGCAATTCTACCCAAAAATTCTACCTTCACAAGATTGATTATCAATCACTACCACAACAAATCCTTGCATCAAGGAAGAAGCTTTACTCAAAGCTGTTTGAGAGAAGGTGGTTACTGGATAGTGAAAGGAAGCAAAGTTATAGCGAAGTACATAAGTAAATGTGTAATCTGTAGACACGTAGACCTACAGAAGAACAAAGAATGGCTGATCTACCACCTGATCGTGTAAACCCATCACCACCATTTCTTTATAGCGGAATGGATTGCTTCGGCCCACTTATCACCAAACAAAACCGCAAGGAGTACAAGAGATACGGACTGATATTTACGTGTCTAAGCTCCAGAGCAATTCACCTAGAAATGTTGGAAGATATGTCAACCGACGCCTTTATCAACGCCTTAAGATGTTTCATAGCCATTAGAGGTACTGTCAGAGAACTTAGATCTGACCAAGGATCTAATTTTGTTGGAGCAAAGAACGAATTGAACAAGCTCTAAAAGAGATTGATAAAGAAAAGGTAACTAAGTACTTGTTAGAGAAACAGTGCGATTTTCACATGAATGCTCCACATGCAAGCCATACAGGCGGAGTCTGGGAGAGGCAAATCAGAACTGTAAGAAACGTACTAAGTTCAGTGTTGAAAAAGAACGCCGAAAGATTAGATGATGCTTCACTTAGGACACTATTCTATGAAGTAATGTCTATTGTTAACAGTCGTCCACTTACAGTCAACAACATCAACGACCCAACAAGCTTGGAACCTTTAACTCCCAACCATCTACTTCACCTTAAAGCTGATTACATACAGCCAACGCCTGGCAACTTCACCAAAGAGGATTTATACGCAAGGAAAAGATGGCGAAGAGTTCAATATCTATCAGAGCAGTTTTGGAATAGATGGAGCAAGGAGTACTTAGCTCATCTCATACTAAGAAGTAAATGGCAAACGTCTAGAAGAAATGTTCATGTTGATGACATAGTGTTAGTAAAGGAAGACGACTTACCTAGAAGTCAATGGAAATTGGCCAAAGTCCTAGAAGCTTGAAAGGACAAAGAAGGACTAGTAAGAAGAGTTTTGTTACAAATGGGAGACTCAAAACTGGGCAAAAAGGGAAAACGTCTCACAACTCCACTCAAGTTGGAACGTCCAATACAAAAGTTAGTTGTTCTGCTTGAGAGTAACAAAGACACTTGAGAGTTGAGAAACTGATGGAAAATTCCTCAAATTCATGTTCGATTCCTATTACTGAGAACATAGAATTATAGGTAATTTTGGTGGGAGTGTAGCTGGCCAGCTAAGACCAGTCCTAGGTTGCTAATATGGTTCACATATATGTGTATACCAAACCTGCCAATAACCTCAGTACAGTGTATATGTGCACATGTTAAAGCCAAAAGCAAAATCATTGCTGTAATCTATATCTTTGATTGTTATATGACATTTATATATTCATTGTGTCAGCAGAAGCAGAAAAGTAAAATAATGCCTTTAAGATTTAGTTAAAGGTGAGCCAATCACAGCCAGCCTCACACTGTACAGAGCCTTAACCAATCCCAGCCAGTTTCACATTTATGCCTGTGTAAAACTCCCTGCTAGGATTTTCTAGAGACACATGCTCACCAGACAGAAGAGGAAACAGATAAAGTTTCAATCAGAGAAGCTCCATGGAAGTAGAGAAGGCCAAATAGGTATTTAATGCACTTGTGTGTTCCTCTGTTGTTTAGTAGTGCAAGTGGGTCTGTGTCTAAAAACTGTTATATGTGTTTACTTGTAGTTCCACCGAACTTATCGAATTTACGAACTTACGAATCAAGTCACTGTAGAGTAATCTAACGAATTTATAAATCCAAGTGAATTTATCAATCTATCGAAATATACAGAACAAATTTATCGAATCTATTGAACCTATCGAGATAAGCTATCGAATCAAACCACTGTAATATGAAAGAAATAAGCTACTGTATGATAAATGAAACAAGCCATTGTAAGCAGTGTTATATGAAGAAGATTGAAGTTATTAAAGAAGTTAACTAAAGTATTCGGTGTGCTCTTTAAACCTACTGCATCCATAGAGCGGCATTGGAGGAATTACAGAGTAAAGTCAGTCTAATCAACAAAGAAACAGCAATTGCATAATTTTTCTAATGCCACAGCGCACAAGGCACCAAAGGGTGCTGCGCCTGCCACAGTCAGCCCATATGAAGGTACAGGTTGAAAGCTGCAGGGCTTGCCTACAGAAGTCTGAGATTGCACCCCTGATCCACTGATCTCAGGTGCAATGCTTATTGGGCTACTGTAGGAAAAAATAGTAAATGCACATTTATTTTCTGCAAAATTATGTGCATTTATTATGGTTTCTTAAAAGGTGAACTTAGCCTTTAAGGTAGTATTGGGCTTTAAATGACTCTTGTGTACTACAAAAACTATTTACAACTATCATGGGCCTGTTCCAGAAAACAAAAAACACAGCAAAAAAAGTAAAAAAAAAAAAAAAAATTATATGACAGTGAACAAATGATGATCAAACACACAGACACACATACAAAAAAACACAAATACAAAGAACACTTAATGAAATAAACTACAAGACCTTAAAAGTATACACCCCCCCAAAAAATGTGTGTGTATATATATATATATATATATATATATATATATATATATATATATATATATTGTAATTAAAAAAAGTGAAGTACCTCCATATACACTAACTGCTGCAGGTTTTAACCCTTTGTCAACTCACATGAATGAGTGAATGAATGAATGAATGAATGAATGAATACATTTTTGCCATCTTCGTGTCTATTATAAACTGTGTTGCAAAAAAGAGAATTAAGAAAAATATATACTTTTTTACCATTACTTTCATGTCTAATGTACCAAGAACAACATTCAGAACAAAAAAAACATAGCAAAGCAAAATTTGAAAAAAAAACACTTTTATCATTTCCCTTTTAAAATATCATGTTCTCAATAATATTCTTGTTTTCACACCTTTCTGTATGTGTGCTCATTTCAAAAAAGGTTGTGGTAAAAGAGCTCAATATAGAATATTTTTTCTTGCCAGCTTTTTTCCAGTACTAAAAAAAACAGTGAAATAAAATGTGAAACAATATTTGCATCAAAAACAACTTGTAAACAGTCAGCCCATATGAAGGTACAGGTTGAAAGCTGCAGGGCTTGCCTACAGAAGTCTGAGATTGCACCCCTGATCCACTGATCACAGGTGCAATGCTTTTTGGGCTACTGCAGGAAAAAATAGTAAATGCACATTTTTTTCTGCAAAATTATGTGCATTTATTATGTTTTCTTAAAAGGTGAACTTAGCCTTTAACGTAGTATTGGGCTTTTAAATGGCTCTTGTATACTACAACAACTATTTACAACTATCATGGGCCTGTTCCAGAAAACAAAAACAAAGCAAAAAAAGTAAAAAAAAAAAAATTATAGGACAGTGAACAAAATGATGATCAAACACACAGACACACATACAAAAAAACACAAACACAAAGAACACTTAATGAAATAAACTACAGGATTTTAAAAGTATACCCCCCCCCCCAAAAAAAAAATATATATATATATATATATATATATATATATATATATATATATATATATAAATTTTAATTTAAAAAAGTGAAGTACCTCCATATACACTAACTGCTGCGAGTTTTAACCCTTTGTCAACTCACATGAATGAGTGAATGAATGAATGAATGAATACATTTTTGCATCTTCGTGTCTATTATAAACTGTGTTGCAAAAAAGAGAAGAATTTAATAAAATATATTTTTTTTACCATTACCTTCATGTCAAATGTACCAAATACAACATTCAGAACAAAAAAACAGAAAAGGAAAATTTGAAAAAAAAAAAAAACAGCGCTTTTATCATTTCCCTTTTAAAATATGTTCTCAATAATATTCTTGTTTTCACACCTTTCTGTATGTGTGCTCATTTCAAAAAAGGTTGTAGTAAAAGATCTCAATATAGAATATTTTTTCTTGCCAGCTTTTTTCCAGTACTAAAAAAAACTGTGAAATAAAATGTGAAACAATATTTGCATCAAAAACAATATCTAAGGGTAATATCGGACAAATTGCCAGTAGTCTGCTCATCTTTACTGAAGTTTGTTTATCCACTTCTGGACCAGCAATGTACTTGTATGTCACTGGACTTTCGGTGATTATAACATAGTGATGCCTGCAGCCGCTAAATAGCCACTTGATAGCTTGTACAAGCAGCGGGAGGGGGTGTTCCCCTCTTCTTCCGCTGCTTACACTGCTCTCTAGGGATCTCCCATCCCAGCGGGTGTCCCAAGTATCCACCTGAATCACTTCTGATTTACTCTGAAACTTTCAGCACCATTTTTAAAAACCTGATCAAGACCAAGATCAGTGTTTTTGAATGCTATCAAGTGTAGAGGAGGGATTTGGGGTCTCTTAGAAACAATTCAAAAACCTCCAATTTATTCTCTAGGGCTTCTGCTTTAAAAAATATATAATGTTTTGGGGGTTCTAAGGCATTTTCTAGAAAATACTGCTTTTAAAATGTAAATACAAAGTGCCAGAAATGGCTTGGGGCTGCAGTTGTGTATATAAAGCCTCAAGAATAATAATCACTTTGCTGCTACTCAAAAAATGGCAGCTCCAGAATACTCTTCTACTGAGAATGCAGGAAATATCTGGACCAGGCAGCAGCTTTGCTGTGCAAATACAGTGTACAGCAGGGCTTAAAATTTCAAGTCCTGAGCTACTAGCCAGGCCTTAGTGTTACTTGCCACCAGCAAACACACACAAACAGAGACACCAGTACACACACACAGATATGTACATACACACACAGAAACATGTACACACACGCACAGAGACACATGTACACACACACACATCCAGACACATGTATACACACACAGGCACGTACAGACACGCATACACACAGATAAATATACATACACAGAAATACACACGCACAGACAAATGTACATACACACAGACACATGTACATACATACACAGACACATGTACACACAGACACATGTACGTACATACACATGTACATACACACACAGACACATGTACGCACACACATACATGTACATACACACAGACACATGTACAGATACACACATGTACATACACACAGACACATGTACAATTGTACATGCATACACAGATACACACATGTACATACACACAGACACATGTACAATTGTACATGCATACACAGACACACATATGTACACGTACACACACACCCCCCCCATAAAACGTTGCAGTACTTCGTTGTTCACTCACAGAGCCGTGTACTGCACACTCTAGGGGAGGCAGAGAGCACAGCACACACTGCTTGCTTTGCTTTCACTGCGCTCAGCTATTGAGCAGTCTGACGGCTCCCAGTGCCAACGACAGATCCGGCCTGAGCTCCAAGCCTGCTCAGCAAGACGGCCCTGGGGGACACACTCACCCCCACCATAATTTCCACTCGCCATTGGCGAGCAGGTGAGTGGAAATTTCAAGACCTGGTGTACAGTATAAGACTAAAATCAATATTTTGTTCAATGCAAGGTCTGCTGTAAGGCATTCTTTTGCATTTTTAGTAATGTCTTTTTAAATATTCTTTTCAGAACTTGTTTACTAAGAATGTGTTTTTTTTTCCTCTAGCAGGGATATCGTCCAAAAGCAGCCCTGCCACCCCCTCACACTGCCCACCCCTCTCACTTACATGGAACATAATATTTCAAAAATATACTTTCAGCGTGTTTTCTTGGCTTTCAACAATAATTTGTTTGAAATGCTGATAGTTAACAATGTTAGAATATAATATATACTGTATGCCCTGAGAAATGTTCCATTTACAGGACCAAAAAAAAAACAAAAAAAATGGAGCCTGTACAGCATAACTTTTTATTTATTACATTATCTACTAATTTTTAGGTCATATAAAAGGCACCTTTGTGTACTTACCAATGAAGCATGACTCATGGGCCAATGAATCCACCATGATTAAACCTCAGATAGTGTATACTTGAGGTGGAAACTAGCAAACCCTTTACTGGTTGCATGTGATTTATACCAATATTACCTCAACATGTCAACATTTAGATGTCAAATATTAGGAGAGCCTTGATGCCTTGCAACTCTCAGTGTTCCCTGTGCTTTTTTCCACAATGCCCCACAGTCAGAAAAGGCTAGTCATCAGACACAACCTGGGATTAAAAGAATAAAGGGACCTGTTTTCCAATGGTGCACAGAACCTTCACCAGTAGACATATTTCTTGCTCGTCATTAAACCCCAAAACAAAAATATAATGTATTACAGCGTTCTAATTCTTTTATGTGATGGCTGCATTTAGCTTTCAGGTTTAGTTTTTTTTTTTGTTTTTCACCTGGTGATCCAGTCAGTAAGTCTGCTATTTTTCATCTTTTTTTGCCAGACCAAGCTGTCCAGAAAAATTGGCAGTCCAAGTTTTGAGATAAATCCTTTTTACCACTGACAGGGGTGCTTACAATGGTCAACGTTTATTCATATACTGTATATCACATACATATAAGGTGCAGCGCTAAAATAACATAAATAAAAACAGCATATTATAGCATAAAATAAAGTGCAAATATCAGATCACACTGAGGTGAACTTGAGTGAATAAAAGTCCCAAGATAAATAAGGGCCCAACGTTGGGTTCCGGTAGATCCTAATAAGTGCGTGGGGCAGGGTTCCAGTGTACCACACGGTGAATCTAGGGTAAAAATTGCGCACTCACCAGAAGTGCGTCAAAAATACGAATTGTGAAATTTATCCTGTTACATCAGGTAGCGGTCATCTACTGCCAAGGTAAGGTCAGGGTCATACACCTTCCAATCGTAACTCAGGGTAGGTACTCCAAGAGTCTCAAACGTGTCTCAAACGTGTCATCATCTGGGGTCCCTTTTGAACAGGTTCTGAAAGTGGGGACTCTCATTGAAGAGAGCCCAGTAGGGGACACCACATAGCGTGATACCGTATACACTGAGTTTATTATATCAGAAGGTAACACAACAATGAATGGTAGGGATAAAATGAAGGTAAACACTGACCAGATGCTGTTCAGGATGGCCACCAGCGGTGGTCAGACGTCCGGATACTGTAGCCCCGCTGACGCGTTTCGTGCAATGCACATTATCAAAGGGTGCTGGGCTTATTATTATTATTCATATATGTAAAACGTTTATCCCAAAAAGAAAAAAAACTGCTGCAACTGTTTAAAAAGTATTAGCTGGAGTTCAGTTTTATTTTCTTATTCAAGCCCAACTAAATGTTCTACTCGGATACTTCCCTCTCCCCAGACTGGCCAAATGTGTCCCCATTGCTCAAGATTCCCTAAGATGGGAAGTGTTTTACTGGCTGGATGAACAGGTGAAAATAAAGGAAACAAAAACTAAAAAAAGAAAACTAATGCAACAACCACATTTAATGATTGGGGTGTTGAAATATATAACATTTTTGTTTTTGAATGTATTTCCCTTTAAAAAGCTTATTATTCTATTCTAAAAAAAATGTGTGTCAGCTACTATGTTTCAGGAGAAAAGCAAAAACAGAAGCGGTAAAGCAGAACTCCAAGCTCCAGGCACAAACACTTTCATTTAAATCAGGGGTGTCCAAACTGTGGCCCAAGAAGGCTATGAATGCTGCCCAACACAAAATTGTAAACTTACTTAAAAATGTTTTATTTTTTTCAAATTTTTTGTACAAATGCATTTACACTTGCGAACAGATGCGGCCGAAGAAAAATTTGATAGTGTCTCTTTAGTAGACTTTTTAATGTGGTGCTACTCCCGCAGGGGCCTCTTGATAATGCTTGTCCCAAGTGGTTTCCCTGACCTTGCAAGCCTCCCAACACCTCTGGCACTTCAGACATGTTTCAACAGTATAGAATAATAATTCAAGAGACACAATTCTTTAGTAACACCTCTCTATTAAACTTGTTCAAAAGAGTAGGCCACAGAAATAATGGGTTTAGTATATAAAACTCCAGCTAACACATAAAAGCAGAACACTGATAAATAGGAATAATCAAATAGCAACATTTAACAGATTATACAATCATGAGTAGTAAGCTTCAACCATTTAATTGCAACACCAGCAGCAAGAGGGGGAAGAAAAGGCTTGTTGACGTATCAGCTCCCACCATACCACCAGCATGCCACAATGAGGAATGCAGAGAATTATGTAAACGTATACTCTGCTATGAATAGATATAAGTACTTCAATTTGAATAGCAATGGCCTTAAAAGAGAAGAGGTCTCTTTAACTAGAGAACACAACTTGAGTCCTGTGATGCTTAAAGTTCCTGAAATGGTGGTATCTGTTGTCTTCTGCTAGCAATGGTGGGGGCCCATAAACATTAGTGAATACTAGTGATTCAATGAAGTTAAACAGACTGTGGTACTGCTCAAAGCAAAGATCTCCTGGTACCAAGCTGTAAAGGTGTCTGCAGTCAGTGTCTCTAGAGGGATGACAGAAATAGGTTGGGCATCCGCATGCTCACCAATCCTATATAAAGCAAGACCTCCTAGGAACAGAGTTCTTGATCAGGCTCTTGGCTGGATGCAGGGATGTGCGGAGCTACTTATTGATGGCCTGTCAGTGCAGCTAGCCAATGCCAATGACAGTCCCAATGCAGAGATGCTGTAGCTATTGGTGTCACCACTGTGCTGAACTTATGTGCAGAGTCCTGCAGCAGTAGACCAGCAATTCGTCTCTCGAGGAGAACGGCAGTCCCCCTGTGTTCAGTTCTGAATTCCATGCCAAGAGAGAGAGAGCCAGTCCCTTTCTGTAGAATATATCTGCTTTCCCAGTATCCTCCTCGTTCACCAGCTCTCTGGTAGTTGAAGTTCAATCAGCATTCAGGAATACAGGATGTATTGACTACTGGACTGGATCCACTCTGCTAACAGGAAGTGATGTAGCAATCCCAGTACTGGGCACTAATGGGAAAACCAAAGTCTCATCTGCAAATGTCCCAGAATGGCATAATGATATAGCCAGCACCTGTCTACAATAAGTTTTATCTTCCCAAAGAAAAGCATCCCACTCTTCACAATCAAGCCTTATTCATATCATCAGTTTTTGGCATGCACCTTCATTTGTAAGCAACTATTTTCAAGGATGAAGATCCAAAATATCTAACGAGCACCTTGAGAATTCATTGAGAATTGCTACCATATTCATCGAACCAGATACATTGATGCATTGGTTTATCAAAAACAGTGTCAAGTCTAGTTTTACGTTGCCCCTCTTTTACTTTTATGTTTAAAAATATTACAAAAAATGAAGTCTTATTACTCAGATAGGTACCGTATTTTGGCGTATAAGGCGACTGGGTGTATAAGACGACCCTCTAATTTTCCAGTTAAAACATAGGTTTTGGGCTATACTCGCCGTATAAGACTACCCCCCTTCCGAAGCAACACCTCCTAAAAAAATCTGATTTTTTAATTGAAATGGTTATGACTTACCGGTACTTAAAATCCTTCAAAATCCTCATGTTCATCCTCTGACATCATAAATTCATGAATGACATCTTGTGATACATTTGAAAGACAGTCATCATATGGATCAAATTCCAAATCAGATGGTTACCGCTGGATGTGCGGTAATACGGCAGCTTCGGCTACATACAGTATACAGTATATATACAGCCCGCTGGATGTGCAGTAATGTACATACAGTATACCGCGCTGAGCCAAGCTGGCTCAAAACAAATGTCCCTATGACAGATTAATCTGTCAGCCCACTGGATGTGCGGTATATACAGTATACTGAGCCAAGCTGTTTCAAAACGTACCGGTACGTCCCTACGGTAATCAGCCCACTGGATGTGTGTATGTACAGTAGCTGAGGCTACATACAGTATACACTGGGCCAATCACGGCAAGCGATGTATTCTACTAATGAATACAAAGCCTGCTCGGATTGGCTGAGGTTGTGACATCATCAGCCCACCTCTCTGACTCAGCCAATCCGAGCAGGCTTTGTATTCATTAGTAGAATACATCACTCGCCGTGATTGGCCCAGTGTATACTGTATATAGCCGCAGCTACCGTACATACACGCATCCAGCGGTCTGATTACAGTAGGGACGTACCGGTACGTTTTTAAAACCGCTTGGCTCAGCGCAGTATACTGTATATACCGCACATCCAACGGGCTGACAGATTAATCTGTCATAGGGACATTTGTTTTGAGCCAGCTTGGCTCAGCACGGCATACTGTATGTACAGTATTACCACACATCTAGCCAGCTTGACCCAAACAAACTCAAGGTTCACATTTTATACCCCGCGTATAAGACGACCCCCAATTTTTGGGGTATATATTTTTAAGTATAAAAAGTAGTCTTATACGCCAGAAAATACTTATCTATACCAGTGATCGTTAACTTGTGATCTGCCTGACTTTTTCTGCTTATGAGCACCACTGGCTGACTCCTGCTGTGATTGGACACAGCAGGATTTTGTCAGCAGGTTTAGCCAATGATTCATGGCTG